TATACATAACTACTATTTTTGCCTCTATGCCAATTTTGATCTCAATCCTCAGACGTATTCTGAGTCTCGATCTCATCTGATCCTACCCACAAAGAATATAGAAGAATAACATTGAAAGATTGCTTCGAGGTAGGGAATCTTTCATCGTTATATGTGCACATCGAGAAGAACTTGGTAGCTCATATAAATTTTATAGACATTCTATATTTCCTAGTGCATCTTGGAGCACATACTTATCTCAATAGGTTCCGACTCCGATCGGTTCTTGTCTCATCTGGTCAGGATTTCAGTCCCGACCCTGTAGTTGTTCGATTCTAAATTTAGAGACAACCCATTGAAAAATCGATTTTCCTACAAACATACAAGAAAATCCCGCTTCTATCAGGAGTGAACATAACGATGAATCTACTTGGTCGATAATTTCGGTTTTACAATATCTATTGATTAGGAGAGTTAAGACAGTATATCGTGCTCTCCACTACTGAAAACACACTGAATTTTGATTGATTTCAAAGAAAGACAGACAAAAAGAACTTCGTGCAGAAGTTCTGTTAAGAACTTAATCATCGAAATCTATGAACAAACAAAATCTTGAGCCTAACACACCACTTATTCGAAATTTCCACAGCAGATGATCTCCAAAGAGTCAGTTTCTCTAAAAATCTGTGTATTTGACATGGCTCACTCAATTAAGCCACGAATCGTTCAGTAAGGTTTCGTGCTCAGCAGATTTTCGATTCCTAATGTCCTTCTTGCCCTTATTCAATGATACGCGTTTACTCGAAAACTTGATGACTGTTGGTTCTGGACTAATAACTAAATTATCGAGGTGAACGGACCCCAGATTCGAATTTGTTAAGTCGAAAAACCCATACCTTATCATTTTCCCGAAAATATAAGTGTTTTCGTCTGTTTTCTTAGGAGCTGAATTCCTATTGGTTTCCGAACAATCAATCAGGTTTTAAGTCAAATGTACTCCAGATTTGAGCTCAGCATCCTCGAAAACTCCTCGGTACATGTCTTGTGCTTGCTTACAACATGCTGCCTAGTAGTTCTTTGATACTACTGAATGCTGCAATCTCATTGGTCTGATCCATAGACGAGCCTACTGCAGTTGGAGGACCAATGTTTTATCGACAAAAAGTAGTCATTGACCTTCTCCTCGATCAGAGGATGGCTCCTGAAAAGTTTCGTTGGATTTGCTCGTATCGTGTTCAAATGCATGAAGAACAGGCAAACAAACAAACTTTCTTCCTTATATATATAGAAGATTGTATAGTAGAGTATACTCTTTCTATATACGTACATTATAATTATTTCATCTATTCATAATAGCTGAAAATTTAAAAGAAAGAATTGAATTTTTGTAGACTGCATTATCTCAATAAAATATTTTCATAAATAAATTCATAGATTTTTTTTAATACTTCTTTCTTTTTTCAATGTAAAACATGTTCGATAAGTATGAATGTGAATGACTTGTTTAACCATTTGGAAACCGACTTTTTTTCGAGAAGAGGTGAACGGTATCGTGGATATTAGGTATAACTTAGAAATTATGAACTATATACTTGTGGCGCTAGCTCTTCTTTCTATAGAGCATGACTCTAGTGGAAAAAGGAAATAAAATATACAATGATTCCACTTCAAAATATCCAAAGCAGTTGAGTCTTCTGTTTCGGTTTTGAGGACATACATACACATCCTTGGTCCCCAAAGGGTTAAGATAAATATCTCACTTAACATGATTGAATAAAAGTTAAGAAAAATACTAACAAATTGTTTCGCCATCGATAGGATTATTTTCTTTAAAATTGGATAATATCCAATGAATAAATGGACCAGTGAGTGGTTTATCCGAAGACGGAGCATCTGGATCAATCATTATCTTATTTAATGAAAACAAAGAATAAATTTATCATTTATTTAATTAATTAATATAAAAAAAACAAACAAACCAATGTTTTATATGTATCATCTTGAAGTTGTTTATTTATTTTAATATTCGGTTGTTTTTGTGTTTGCTCTTTTGTTAAATGATTGTTATCATTAACTAATACATTGTCATAATTTATTTCAATTAGATTATTCTTATTATTTACATCGTTTAATTTATTTAACAAATATTCAACATCAGAACTTATCTCATCACTCATTTTATTATCTAAAAGAAAAAAAACACCATCATTTGAATTTCGAAATATTGTAAATGAAAACAATAAGAAACGAAAATGAAAAAATGTATTCTTTCTTGTGAAAGAAAAAATACTTGTAATCGATGCAAACAATGTGAAGATACTTTTATTATCTAATTTTATAGAATATTTATTTTACTTTTTTCTTATCATTTTTTTATTACTATTCTATATCACAAATAAATCAATAAGATAATAAAATGATGTTTTATCTTCTATTTTCTTTAATTTAGACAATTTTATATGAAAAATCTTTTATATTTTTAGATTTATTTTTAATTATTGTTTAACTGTTTCAAGTCGATGTGAGCTAACGGTGAATTATGGAAAACAAATTTGAATATCTTTACTCTATAGATACATGACATTTTTTTAACTGTAACATATTTAAATCAGAAATATTGATCTAGAATTCAATCATTTAAAATAATTATTAGAATATAAATCTAATTATGTTTTTACAAATATTCAATACATTTTGTTTTTCTTCTTTAATTTAATTAGCTGTCCTCTCTTAAATCAGCATTAATTTATTTTTATTTTATTAATAAAAATTTAAAAAAATATCCTATTATTCACAAAAAATAAACAATTCATTTTGTTTTTATCGTGTGAAAAATATTGAAATTCTTTTTTTGTCGTCAGTCATTATTGGTGGTTAAAACATTACTTCGACAAGATTAGTCATTATTATTATATGAAAAGTAATTTTTGTTTTATTTAATATTTATCCATTTAACTATAGAAAACAATTTTCCAGTTGTTTTTTTTTTGATATATTTTATTTCTTAATTTATTTCGAATTAACTATTTAACAATAGATTGTCTTAATGATAGCTTATGTTCATTCATAGATTAATATGAATATATTCTTATTATAATTGAATGCATATATATTAGAATTTAATATTATTTTATTTGAGTTTTATTTTTATCTACATAATCTATATATGAATATTAATATAATCTATTTGATAGATAAAAAATTCAATTAGAATTTGAGAGAAAAATAAATTAAATATAGATATCTATCTTTGTCTTTATTTAAATATCATTCATAAAAAACAAGAATATTTTTTTTTATAAATCTAATTGATATTTATTTGAAAATTTTTTCAATTATATTAAAAAAGATATATATATATATACATGTTAATTAGATAAGAAGATGTAATCTATGCGCTTATGGTAAGAATAAAAAAGATCGATAAGATAAGAAAAACAAAACGATGAGAAAAAGTCAAATAATATATTACGTCGAAGTTTAGTTTTTCTTTATATATAACTCCTTATTAATTGATAAGAAGAGTTAAGATGTTTTTACTTATTCGCATAGTTTTATAAATAAACAAGTATATGGGCAAAATCATTCATTAGCGACGTGATGTCACAAAATTAAAATACGAATATTTTTCGATAATGAACTTCCTTACAGCTAATTTTTATAAGTAAATATGTATGTTAAGTTACTCTATATACGCTGAAAAAATCAGCCTTGAAAACCTTTGTTCAGAGGAGTTTTCACTAAAAAAATTAACATTAGCGACGTGACATGAAAAAGACATCAATTGTCACCGGATGCATTTAAGATTATAGAAAAATCCGCGAATTGAGGTGATTATTTTTAAAAACTAAGTGGTACATTCTGTACTCGACTCTTTGGGCTACAGAATGTTTATCCAAAGTTTTTCCTAGCATGCCTGGATTTGACAAAACATTGAGCTTACTTGGCGTTATCGACGTGACACAGTACAAATCGACCATAGTTCATTCTGTCATATCTCTGCAGATATTCATTCACTTGCTTTAAAACTTAGTACTCCTACTCTCCGAACTGTGTTCTTTCCTAAATCACAAAAAAACTTTTTAACGTTTTGTCAAGGTTTCTAGAAAATCTGATTATTAAGGAAGGGATTTTTGACATCATTTTTTTGTTTCTATAAGAAAACGGCAGATGAGTTTTCGTAATGTAGCGATAACTTTAGTAAAGCAGATCTTTTTTTGTTATTGCAACTTCGAAAACGAAAAAAAAAGCACCAGTTATTGCTTAAACTTTTATAAATTAGAGACTACAGTCTATAAATACGCTAAACTTTCACAACTTAGCTTCGAATTTCACTGCAAAACAAAAATGTTATATTTTGTCTGATTTTGCCCATATATATGTTTATTAATCATTCTTTTTTTAAATAGAAAATTTTATTTTAAGAGTGATTCTTTTTGATTGCTTGACTTATCATATTATAAATGAAAAGATTTAATAATATCTTGTTTAACTTATCTATTATATCAAACATAATTACAAAATTTATTTAGATATTTATTCAAATATTTAAAAAAAAACATTTTAACTGTAGAAATATTTTATTAGGTTTATATTAAAATCTTTGAACAAAGTTTTTTATCTTTCAATTGAGCCATCGATGGATTATATTATTTCACCATTTTCAATTATATTAAGGAGCTTCTCCCTTCAGAAACGAACTTTGTTATTTTTCACCCGAGTTCAATCAAAATTTCAGAGAATATTAATCTTGACTAGAATTGCTTATGGTTAAAATATCTTTCCCAAATCTCAAAGAAGTGCACAAGTTCTAATCAATTCATTACCCTTTACACAGGCAAGGATTTCCCAAATAAGGATACGAGCTAACATGCCGGGGCAGTTTTCAGGTTGTAGAGCTCCCTTAGGGCTAGGTCATCATAGAGCCCGATTTTTGAATATTCGTTTCTTTGTTTTTTAAAAATCCTTTTTCAAAAAAATTCTTGAATTCATGATCAAAAAAAGCTACTGATCAAAACGAAGGACCTACGATTTTTATTTCAGCTAAAGAGAAATTTAAAAATCCGGCTCTATTACGACCTAACCCTACAGATCTCCTGTATATAAAAAAAAATTCTCACTTCCATGTCGAGTCGTTATGGAGAAAAGCTGGCCCGCGTAAACTGCATGCACGAAAAAACTGATTTTGAGAAAAACGAAAACTAAATATTAGAAATCGATTTTTCGGAAAATCACCTGATTTATGTATCAGTGTTCAAAACAGGCTATATATATGTGATCTTAATATTAAGTTTTAATAGTCTGGTAATGATTAGTGTTTAACAAAACTTTACGAAATGCTGATGTAAAGAGAAAGCAGCCTAAAAAGTCAAAAAAGTTTAAGAAAAACCATGAAAATTTCTCGAACAATATGATAATAGAAGCCAAGTTTTAGACGATAAGTTCGTCAAAATCAATTCATTTTGTGATAAGCCATAGATATCCTGAAAGAGAAGCCATTGATACATCTTTTCGTGATAAAACCTCAACCTCGGATTATCGCCGAAAAATTGAATTTTCTGAGGGAGGTCTCTTTAAATAAAATCGAATAAAAAATTATTAGTTTGAATCTTATCTCTTCATTTATTGAATAAATAATTTAAAATTTTTCAAAATAAAAAAACAAAAATGAATATGTTTGAAAAAAGATAAATGCAACTCGATAAGAGTTAGTCGATTAAACAAACACATTTAATTAACTATTTATTATAAATAATTAAACTCTAGAAAAGAAAAAATATTTTCACATTCTTTAGTCATTTATAATTTCTTGTTTTCTTTTTTCTAATAGAAGAAATATATCGATTGTTTGACTTATACATTAATTAAATTTAATTGAAATAACTTTTTTCTTTTCTATTTATTGATCAATAATCGAAAAAAAATCAAAGGAAGAATGGAAATAAATAATTGATTAATGATGATAAATAAAAAGTGTTAACCTCGATGAATTTTTAAATTACTATGATCTCTAGCAGCAACTCCTAAAAAGTAAAGTTCATCAGGATATGTATTTGATAATAGTTGTAAATCATATTTATTTCTCCAAAATAATGAACTAATTCGTTTTCGAAATTTGGCCACAATATTTCCTAAAGGTTGTTCAATAAAAGCTGTATTTAATGAAGCAGCTGAGCCTTCCATTAATATTCGATTATTATTCCATAATATTGTAAATTTATTTCCAACTATTTTAAAATTTTGTTCAATTGTTCCATTATTCCATTCATTATTATTCTTATCGTAAATAGTTATTATTGCTTTATACATAACAGCTGTTACTTTAGCTTTTAAACTTGCTAATAATTTTTTTGATGTATAAGTATATAAACGAACATCATGAGTTAAACGAAATTTTGATTCCATACGATATAAACGAGTTTTACCTGTACTATCATATATAGTAAATTCACCTCCTTTAAGACCACTAAGAAAATCTTTTTTTATAAGATATGTACGATTTACTGAATTTGATTGAACACCAATTATTAAATTAATTGATAACAATCCGAACAAGATTATATTTATAATTGACATAATTTCATCTGAATATATATATATTTATTTAAAAATAAATAATGCTCTCTTTTATATATAATTTTTAAATCGAACTTAAAGTTCACATAGATATACAATATCATTTTATCTATATATAATTTTACTTATATTTAAATATAATCTATATCAAATTTCATTTTTTTTATTCATATGAGATTTATTTCGATCATACTTTTTTGCTGTTGTTTTTTACTCATTGATTTCTCATCATGTTTATTCTTTACTCGTTTTACGTTTTATTCATTCGACATTTAACAATATAAGTTACAAAAAAAAAGAACATTTTCATATGATTATCGATATAATATTAATCATATTTATGAAAAATATTTTATTATATATCATTTGAGAATGTCGAAATATAAAAACAATGAGTAAACTATTTTTCACGAAATTTTTACCATAGATAGAGCTCGCAAAAAATGTGATCGCAAGCATCAACCTGAGCTCGATTGATTGAGATAGGATAAAGTTTGGTTTGAAACATTACTTTCAACTTTTATGACTTTGATCTCAATATTCAAAAAACTTTTATCAACTTCTTCCACTTATCAATTCAAACGAAATTATTTCTTGTATCTTTGACGTAACTTTTAATTTAGTTTGTATGAAAACTGCATAGAAAAATGCGAAATATAACCTAGTTTGTATTAATAAGTGGAAGAAGTTGATAAAATTTTTTGAATGCTGAGATCAAAGTCACGAAAGTTGAAAGCAATGTTTCAAACCAAACTTTATCCTATCTCAGTCAATCGAGCTCGGATTGGTGCTTACGATCACAAGTTTTGCGAGCTCTATCTATGGTGAAAATTTCGTGGAAAATAGTTCACTCTGTACCTGGATTTTGGCATAGCTAGGTACTTCTGACGAGTACTGTACACATTCTCAGTACATATTTTCAACGAAAAAAAAAATTCATTGATTATTTTAAATATTTAACCAAATAAGAATTTTTATCGGTAACGATATTTATCGTCTACTATTTATAATTGTCTGGCTTTTATTTTTGTCTCAAGAAAAAGAATCTCCTACTTCGATTTTGAGTACCATTTTATATAATAATGTTTCTATGAGAGATATATTTTTGCCATAAATTTTATCTGTTGTTTATCTATTTACAGAAGGTATACCTTATTATAATCAAAATCACATTTTTCTTTTGTCGACACATACAGAGAGATTTCATTGATATTTGAATGATTTTAATGTATAATTATCTATATGATGAAAAGAATAAATATGTTGATATATTATATGTAACTATTTAGTCATGTTTTGCAATAGAGATATTTCAACTTTATATAAGATATCGAATATATTTATATTAGATTTTCGACAGATTTTTCTAAAAATTTTATTAAACTTTCATGTTCTATCTAAAATAAATGTGCTTAACATTATTTAACTATTTATATCATTGATATAATTGCTCGTTTTAATTAATTAATGTAAATATTTGTTTAATCAATATTTTAGTCTCGAATATATATTTTCAGGCAGCCCCCAATTCGGTTTCTTTTGATGTTATCTGAGTTTTATTCGAATATTATCAAATAAACTGGCTCATTATTCTATTTAATAGAATAGAAAATAGCTTATATGATGATGAATCACTACCTAAATACAAAAATGATCAACATTTATAATTGATAGACACTGACATATTGAATAAAAAACAGTTCTGTGTTTTTAGTTCTTCACAAATTTTATTTCTCTGAATTGCTAATTGTAAATCTGTTATTGTTGTGTTCACTGAGAGCAAGAAGAAGTTATGCATGACTTTACGCGACAACACTATTCGATGTTATGTTAATATTCTTGTTTAATTGTACAGGGTTGGAAAAAATATTTTTCAAGGGGGTAACGCTATAATTCCAATGAGGAGATGTGATGAATTTTATACCAAATGAAAGCTCGTGAAAAATGGGGTTTAGTGATGCTAAATAATAAGACTTTGAAGAACTTTCATATATCAAACTGTCAAAAATAATAAAGTTTTCTTCAAAAAAAATCGTTAAAACTCATTTTTACTGAGTTTTAAGGCATTGAAAACGAAGATTTTTCTACGAAAAAACGAAAGAAAACTACTAGCGATCATGAAATATAACTATGACTCAGACAATAAGATGATTCTTCTGCGTTCTGTTGTTTGCTCCACGTGGCACTAGTTATTTCAAAGAGTTTTTCGTTCTCGTTCTGTCTGAAAGTTATAGTGGAGAGAAATTTCAGTGATTTGTGGAGTGATATAACAGGCAGTTTTTCTCTTCGATGCATATCATAATAAAATTCATCCTTTTGTTAAATCAACGTAGTTTCATTATCTGAAATGGCTGGTACTTATGATACTGAACAACAAAGAATGATTGACAGGATCAAATGCATTGATTTTCGTGAAGCTCGCGATGCTGGTGCAACATTTATAAATAGACAATGAATTGCGGGCAACATTCATCGCACAACTCGATTTGTCTCAGATTGGTGGGAAAAATCATATGACCAATGCTTTGCTGATTATTCAAATGTTGGTACTAAACCTAAATTATCAGAAGCTGGTCAAGATATCATTCGTAAAGCAAGTGGTCAACAAAGAAAAAGCTGTTCTGTTGTGATGAAGGAGATTGCAGAAAAGCAAAAAGAATATGTCATTCAAAGAACAGTTAATAATTACCGTCATGAGGGGTGAACCATTTCCCCATTTCATAGAGAAATCCTTCCACTTCTAGAAGAAATGGTTTAACCTCAAATAGTTAAGCAGAAATTCTTTTTTTCAACATCGAATTCCTCTTCAACACAAATCAATACTTCACCATATACCACAAGAAACGGTTAATTTTGAAGAGGAAATCCTTCATCCATATCTCCAGTTTTAAGGAGAAATGGAAATGAAGTGTAGAGAAATGTAAAATTAATTTTGATCCAATTCTCTATTTATAAAGAGAAATGGATTTATTCAGAGAGAAATCGATTATTTTATTTTCTCTCTTATATAGAATTTTCTAGCAGATATGGATTTTTTCCAGCAGATATCGTTTAAATAGCAGGAGAAATGCTTCATCCATTTCTCTATTTATAAAGAGAAATGGATTTATTCAAAGGGAAATCGATTATTGGGTGTGGGTGTGGGCGGGTGCGGTTGTGAGTGTGGGTTTGGGTGTGAGGGTGTTTCTGTTGTTAATCGACACCGACA